AGAGAGAAAAAAAGAAAAGAAAAAAGACCGCTGTTTACGGAAGCCGCGAATAATTTAGACGCCGAGACGGGAAGGTTCTCTTTTTCTACTTTTTAAATTTTTCTCCTCCTCTTTCCCTCGCGATACTCTCGCGAACGATCGTGAGAACGGCGATTCAGAGGAGGCCACTGCCTCAAAGTTAGACGGGGATCGATTTTTATGCGAGCAGGCTACGAAAATTAACTACTTCTCCTCCGTGAACCTCCGCATCGAGGCTCTTAAGCGTACGGGTTATGTAAATAAAATATGCGGTAAATGTTTTTGTTTTTATTCATCGAAGCAAATACCTCGTTGAATATAAAAAGTACGAGTACACGTGTGTACGTCCCCTAGGGGAAACTACCAAACACGGTGGTGCACCGTGGGACACGTTTGTTATTTTTTTAACAATAATGAGATTTTTAATGTTGACTGCTCAGTTATATTACTTTTCAACTAAATTAGCGACTGAGTTGCCAACATTAAAAAGCTCGTTATTGTTAACAAAAATAATAATTACATATTAATCCCAAGGTACACATGTCCCTGGGCAACGCAGCCTCTCTTATTTATCTCCATAACATTTTATACAAAAGATTTATTCGTGTTGCTTCAAATGCAAAAATGTTTGCATTTAAAACGAGATAAATATATATTTGGACATTGAGAGAAAGTGAAGATTCTGAATGTAATAGGCAACGCAAGAACTAAAAATCATAAAAGATATGGTTGAATAAAGTAATTATAATTCTACAAGTGCACGTCTGATCATTGATATCAATTTGTGACAAGATCAATTTCAGAATACAAGGCAAATACTTCCATTCTAAAAAATATGTGGATGTGGATTTAACACCATGCAGTGTTTTAAATATATAATTTTTATCACGTTGGATATTAATACAACACCAAAATGCTCTAACAGCGTGAATTTAAAATCCATGGTGTTTACATCAACACCAATATACATTTAAAATCCATGCTGGTATACGTTTAAAATCCATGCTGGATTTAAACATCGTATTGGTGTTTGTACAGACATCGACACGACGAGAATTTATGTATATAAATACCACATAGTGTCAAATCCATTCCCATATTTTTTACACCGTTGAAATGAAAAGAAAAAAAAAGAAAAAAAAAACGAGATTGTTAATGCGAATCGTAGCATTTTCCGCACTTTACATCTCCGAACAGACGTTTCTATATACGTACCTACGAATAAAGAGCACTTCCTTCCGGTCGCTCTCGTAATAATTCAGCGGTCGAATATTCAGAATATAGAGAGTACATTTGATAAAATTTTCCCAAGGCACGTCGAGGCGACGATTTTTTATTTAAGCATATCCGGCGAGCGTTTCTATGCCGGAACGTCTCGATGGGCTTTCTTTTTCTCCCGACATCCGCAACGATTGTGTTCGGGAAGCATGACGAGCCGGATGGTAGGCGAGATCGCCACCGAGAGATGGGTTAATCGTTAAGAGGTAGACACGTCGAATCTGCGATTTCGATCGGGGTGGGGGGGGGGGGGTCCTAATGGACGCGCGTGACTGACCGTCCTTTACCTCACGTGGTTGCGCTGTCAAAGTCATTGACACCGGAGAAGTCGAGATCATTGATCGCTCGTCGTTTGCACATAACACATACGCGCACCGAGAGCTACTCGAAGGAAGCTGAAGCTCTATACTGAAGGATGTTTCGGGAGGAAAGATCAATACTTGGCGTGGCGGACCAATGGGTATAGACGTGAAGAAAAAAAGAAGAAAAAAAGAAAGGGAAAAAAGGTGAAAGGAATGAAAAACGTACCAAGTAAGCGAAAGGAAGAATCGATATACGTAAATTGCGATTCATAGTTCCCTGACCGTGTGTTACGACTAACGATACGTCCATGTCGAAGGGAGCGCGTTAATTTGGGCACGAATAGGAACAATGAATCATTTTGCCGCAGCGCTCTTATATATCATCCGTCCGTTCTCGGCATTTATTTTTTTTTTTTTATTTCTTCGCTTGTAACGTCAAAACGTTTCGAGAGGTGCGAAAGATTACCAAATGTAAAATTCCATTGATCTCCAAGTTGGTGCGAGGAACGAAGACATATTCGCTGATCCAGCCTGACTGTCGGCTTTATGTAGTCTTTGATTTATCGATCGGAGAAGGTAAGCCAATAATCTCGAGTGACTAGAATTATATTCACCCGTTTCTCCGTATAAGCGCAAACTGACTCACTCGCCGTGCAGTCAATTACATTAATTGGGGCCCGCGAGTTACTTTAATTAAGCGTTTAATTTTTCGTTTAATCTCGCGGAAAGCCGCGTCACGTCTTGTAACCCTTGCGAAAGTTAACGTTTCGACACGGCGCTGGATCCTCCGCGCGATAAAAGCGTTTGGAGAAAAGAGAAGAGAAGAGAAGAGAAGAGAGAGAGAGAGAGAGAGAGAGAGAGAGAGAGAGAGAGACTCTTCAATGAAGAGTCCGAAGTGGAGAATATTACACGTTGAATACTTCAACGTACCTCGGAAACGGAATTTGTGCGCTCTTTATTTAATGAAGTGTCCGATTTACATCGCACAGTCGCATCTAAGCTTCTTAAGAGAAGATGAAAACCGTACAATTTAATTCAATTGATTCAAATTTCAGCTTGAATCGAGATTTAGGTCACTCGTTTAAGAATTTGCTTATTGCCGCGTTCATCAAAAGCGAATGCTCCTGGAAGGGACAAATTAATAAAGAAACTTAAATATATACGAGAGAAAATTAGAATCTTGACGCCGGTACGTTGGCAGTATGTTCACGACAATTTACGATGCATTTTGTAATAGCGAGAGAGAGAGAGAGAGAGAGAGAGAGAGAAGTAAACCGCAAGTTATCTCAAGTTTTACTACTGGTCGTTTTATCACTGGTTGATAGACTGTATGAAAGGCCCGACAACAGAAGGGGAGCCAGAAGAGATACTTTAAAGAGAGAGACTGGCCGTTTGAAAATTTATGTTCCTTTTACCGAGAATTTTTAATCTGTACCAGAGATTTGTTGCCGGGAATAAATGTGAAAATTCTGTTAAAGCGCAATAAAACGAACGCTTTTTACCGTTTACATCTGGAAAAACGGAATCGCATAAAACTCCGTGTGTGCGTAAGATCGTAAGCTGAAATGCGCTTTTCCACAATTGTATGCGCGAAAATTAAAAATTTGTATAAGGAGAAGAAAAAAGAAGGAATCGGCTTTGGGGGAAATCGTCACAGATACCCAGGGGGGAGGGGGTGGTGGTACCTCAATAGGTTCGAAATGCGAAATGTTTCCTCGCGCGAATAAAACGAAAGTCATTCGTTCCCGCGCGACTCACGTTCGCCGGGACGATTTATTTTTACCCCGGCCACGTTTTCTCGTCCCGTTGACATCCCGTCGCATCGGCCGTGCGGCCGATGGCCCTATCGCATACGGTGAAATTTTTGCGGCCGGTAGCCGCGCCGCACCACGCCGTGACATCACGACGTGACCGTATATTATATTGCCGCGGAATTATTCAATTTTAATCCCGCGTCACGCTGTGTGACTGCGCGACCGCGAGATCCTCCCACGTGCCTGACACACGTCTTTCCCTCTTTCTCGTCGCCAGGACTTACTGCGAGAGTACGTGCATTGTCAGGGTGTACGGTACTTATTGTGTGCCACGCTCGCGCGATACTGATGGAATGCACGTGCACGCGAAGGCACAAGTAGAGGATTTTAATTTTGTAATCGCACACCGTGATTTATAATACCGAACATGTATAATAATAATAATAACAACTTTGTCGTAGTGCAACTGTCAAATACAACTAAACAGACAGAAATACAGTAAGTTTGATACTGAGTATCAGCTACGCATACCGATAGGCGAGGCGGCAGCTAAGCAGCTGATTTTAAACCGTATCTGAATATCAGAGTAAATTTTCGATTTTGTCAATTCTTAATAAGCAAATTCAAAACAATTAGTATCGCGAATACACGAAATACAAGCAGTCTAACACAAATAATACAATTGATATAGTTTTACAATAAAAGTTTTACCGATATACAAAGTGCATAAAAGAGAGAGAGAGAGAGAGAGTAGGATTTAGTAGAGAAAGTATACAGGAGAAACATTTATAAAATATTTCTATGTGCAATTATATAGAAATATTAATGTAGAGTAGAGTGAAGGGACTATAAACACTGAAGGAACAAGTCGAGTGAAGTTGATGATTATTTATCGATCAATAAAAGATCCCTTCAAAAGATTCTCCAATGATTTGGCTTTAAACTACGATAATTGACATTTATATATTATCAATGTACGAATAATTATAATTTTAAATAAAAAGCAAAAGCCTTGCCGTTTGGAATTAGGTATCAGCCGCCACGCGGGAGAGCAATGCCGAATCGGTTTTTTAAATTATAGTTTAACATCAGTAATATGTGAATGTTAATTAGTGTAATTTACAGCTAATATCCTTTGAATAAAGGCTCCTATAATTAATAAATACGATCGGCTTTAATTTTTCCCGTAGGGGTATTCGCAATTCCCCATTCTCTCCTACATTAAAACCATCGAAAACGTATAATAGGTATTTACCTTAAACAGCGCTCTACGGTCTTGTTATAGTACAACATTAATTGTAAGCGTGTATCAGACTATTATTGGAATTGGATGTGAGGAATGAGAGATTATCACTTCTCTAGTATATATACCGCAATAATGTTGTTTACCCGGTATTCGCAATTCTCCCATTTCCCCCCTAAATATTATTATGTATATGCAATATATATAGTTAGCGTAAAATTTAATACATGTTGAATCCGACTAAATATCGCTGGGCTGGACTTTCGGACACGTGGGAGGTTTAATGGCACGTCAAAATTTTCATCCAAGCGCCAATTCGACGTGCCAATTCGTAGCTTCTAGTGTTTATAGCTTACGCATTCGCTATATACGATCGTAAAAGTGCCTGTTTCTCCTCGCTTTCAGGGATCCTCGGCGATTGTCCGGTGCGGCCGCCGCAATGGGGAACCGTGAGGGAGAGAGTTCTTCAGGACGGTACTCTGCAGATTGTGTACTCGTGCGAGCCGGGCCGTAAACTGAAGGGTCACAAGATAGCGACTTGCACCGCTGACGGCTGGGACGAGCCCGTCCCGAAATGCGTGCCTCGTAAGATATCGCCTCCGACTTTAAACAAACCGCTCTCGTCAAGCGCCTCGTTGCGTGGGAGGACGCGTGTCCAAATCTGAAAGTTCAAGCAATCTTTCGTCGGGAGATTAATTGGCCGTGGAATCTACGATACGATCAATCTCCATCTCGCGTCTCCCACGTCGCCGACTCACTTTTACTCAATTGACATTCATCCGTTCGCAGAACGTGTTTGTTTCTTCTTCAGTTTAACATTGCGATTTTATTAATCGTTCGCCTCGATGATTTATTTATTGGTCGTGCCGAATATTTGCACGTCGCCTGTCCCCGATAATAACGGTATATAAATAGCATTACCGAGAAGTGGGACTCCATTTTAAAATTAATAATTCCGCACGTCAATTTATATTGTTTGAAATAGTCAATTGATTTATATTGATACAGCTGATACGTAATTAACGCCGTTCGCAAATCGCGCGTCTATTCTGGATATACATTTATTATACATTTAAGGAATATTCGGAATTATATTCTCGGATTGGAATCAGAGTAAATTAACGATTTGTGCGTACCAAGTATCGCATGATGTCCCCGCTATGTCCATAGCTATGCGGCATTATACTAATTTGATCGACGTAAGTCAATTATCCACATGAAAGGGAGCTTAACTCCTCGTGCCTGGCTCGGTTGAAGCCTCGACGCGCGTGTTCAATAGAACTGACGGACAAATCCGTTTACTGCGAGACACCGCGCTGTCGAAATAAAGGGACTCGCAGCATCAAACTCGCTCTTGATATCGCAAAGCGAATCAAGATTTCGCTTAGTCAATCGGACACCGAGCTCATGATCGACAGACGAAGATTGCTGCGGATACGATGATTGAACTCGCTTCCTTTCATTGTTCATTTTGATCGTAACCTACGTTTTCAGAGATAAATCTCATCTCAACTTATATCTATACTGGAAGGCAGCATTATTTTCCATTTCTTGACATAATTATGTAGCTCCTACCCGTCAGATAATCATTCAAAGTTATGAATATATAAAAAAGAGTTACGTTCTGTGGAATTAAATGCTGTCCATATGTCGTTCCGTCGCGTTAATCCATGCCAGTGGAAGCGAGCAGTTGGAACTATATTTAAAATTACATTTTTATGAAAAAGACGGGCGCGACGGAAGAAGGAGAGGGATGTGTCAGAAGGTCCCGAAAGTTTCGAAGAACAATTTACCCAAGACGCCCATTCCTATGATTTGTGGAAACACGACTTTACCGTGGGATTCAATTTTCACCGATGCTCAAGTTATCGGCATATCTTAAGCCGGGGGGGGTTGGCATTGCTCCCAAGGCTGCAAATATATAGGGTGTCTTCCGTTCTTTGCTGACTTTCAGAGTCGGTGGAGAACTTTTTTAATTAAAAAAAAAAAAAAAAGAGGAGTGAACGGAAAAGGTGGCAGTCAGGCAACGACCGGATTATTTATTTCAGCTTGTAATTACCGTCGTCGTATTATTCTTATATTAAATAATTGATTTCGCAGTTTATACGTATACCTCGCTGCCGTTAAACCGATGAGGTTTATCGATGATATCGATGATGAAACCAATATCTGGGCCGCTACCCCTTCGATGACGATCCCTTTAGCGACGACCAGAAACGGCGAGGACGGAATTCCTGGATGGGGAAAATTCGCGGAGTTGCGTTTCGGTGCTTCAGGAACGCGCCACGTTCCATCGCATGTGCGCTATCGATGGTGTGCAGACGAGATTCGCCGACATAACATAGCTCGCATTCGCCTCGATGGAGATAAGCCGCCAAGTCATACACCCCCGTCCGGACGTTACAAGCATACGTACGCGTATCCCCCGTACACTTCCTGTCTCCCTTCGGTTTGAGGCTTTGATCGGGATGCGCCGCTCGTGTGCTTGTCCAGAGCCAGAGGAGCTTAGCCACTAGCTTGCGTTCATCAATGATTAGGCGCGCCTATATATCTGTAAATTATTCGAAAGTGTATAGTGCAACGCGAGAAATGATAGACAGAACGAAAAACGTCTGCGTGCCTGAAGGTTCAGATAATAGCAAAAAGCTGGCGCGTGTCCCGATTAAAAAAAAAAAGCTCCAATTTGTGAATAGGGTAAAATTAATTACCGTGTTAGGAGGTAAATTACATTTTACGGAAGGATATATAACATTTGACATATACCTTTTTATGTTGCTTGACGTATTTTTTTTTAAGAGGTATTTCTAGGAGTAATGTCTTCTCTCGCTTCTGAGTTGTATAAAAGTGCAGATTTTTACGGAAGATAATCTTGGCGGATTTTACAAATGTGTGTGAATAGCGCGTATACTCGGTACGTGCTTTACGCGTTACTTAGCTGATACGGGAATTATGCATGTAAAAAATACATTATTTGATAGCATTCTCGTATGCGATAAAAGGCGGTAAAAGTATCTGTCCCCGTGTTGGATCACTGTACATATCCAATGAGATTAATCCTCTGTGATGTAAAGCTAACGCCGGGAATACCTCTAGAAACATTTTTACTCAGTAAAACGAATATTCTATTTAAAGTCCATTCGCCGGACGTGTATGAGTGACGAGAATTTAATTAAAATTCCTTTAATTATAATTGCAAAATGGATATTTTATTTGCGCTAGTACAATAAATGTACAAGGCGCTAATGATTTCGCTGCGATGAGCGAATATTTACGTTTTATTATTCATTAACAATTTGCGGCAATTACATTATTCTATTCTTCGCGAAATAGAAGGTGCTTAGCTCTCCGGCGTCATACGTTACGTTCTGTGCCCACTGTATAGATATAATACGACGTTTCCGTAACGACCTTTATGTCGGCGATCAACCAATCGTTCCGGACTGGGACAAGGTACAAATCGCGAAGGATCGTCTTAAGGCGTTAGAGAGGATAGACGATTTAAAAAAGCGCAGAAAAACAAAGGAGGGCAACAAGAGGAAAAAGAAATGGAAGAGGCCGGTGAAATCCTCGTCGAGGCTACCTACGGCAACAAGATTAAACGAAACCGTAGTGTCCCAATTGGATATCAGCTGTGCTGCGAGAAAAAGCCTTAGAAAGGGACTCATCAAGGCTCCTTCGATCGAGAATGCTCGCCCCGCCAAATACGCCAGGTTTGTTGTTGCACAAACAAACTGCAAAACGACTCTGAAATAATGAAAAAGCTTTATCTTGAGCTCGCTTAAAATGTAACAGGAAATTAACGTCAATTTCTTTTTTATATCATATATACATATAATATTATACTAATTTGAAAAGTAATTAATGTGATTGCGAGAAGAAACGCTAATGGTTAAAAAAATATAATAACAAAATTGGTTTTAACTTCCCGTTGGTTTTTTTCACAAACTCTAACAAGATTATTATTATTATTTTTTTTTTTTTAGCATTCTAAAATCCATTTAGAATTCCTTCAAATTCCGACTGTCCTAACCATCCGCCGTCCGAACTGTTTTCACGAATGAGCGCGAAGTATTTTATTCCCAATTTCATTGGCTGGGTCTAATACGAATCAAAGAATTTTTATCACTCGGAGAAATTTACAGAGACCTTAAAAATATGCTTTTTACCGATTACAATTGCATGCGATCCGAATGCTCGAAGAGTCATAGATTACCGCGACGCGGTATATCGAGTTCAGCTCGGTATAGGACCGCGAAAGGTTAATACATGTACATACCTATAATAGGATGTGTATTGTCCTATAGGAGAAAGAACGTACTGCCGCCGTATAATCGATACCTGGTTGCGGTTTACGAGTGCGCGGATGGTTACATCTTCGTGGATTCGACGACGGACAGGCTTTTTTGCAGTAACGGCACCTGGCTGGGACGTCGTCCGAGATGCGTGAGAGACAATCGTAAGCCACGAATAAAAAATTTATTATCCCCGCTCACTTTAATAATCACGTATATAAAACAGCAAGCGGTCTACGCTTGATGTATGTGTTAATCACGTTCTCTTACCAATCTAATATCTGCAAATTTCTCTCATATAAATATCAAGCACCAAGATTCCGTAAACGTGATTCTTTTTCTCGTCTAATTAAATCTATTGTGTTAAACAATCTGCCTGCACGCATCCGTATGCGCGCTTTGTTATGAAATAAATGTATGTTTGCCGTAGTAGAAGTCCCAGCGGATAAGGTGAAACGTTGCGATCAGGGAACAGGCGAATGCGAACACGTATGTGAGGATACGCCAAGCGGCATAAAGTGTTCCTGCTTCGACGGCTTTCGAGCTAAAGGACCGTCCTGTATCGGTAATCCATACGCCCACAGCCACATATAAATTCACCACTGCATATTTCACATTTTTATATCTTTTGAGGAAAGTCAAACTCACCCGCACAACTTTCTCTCTCTCTCTCTCTCTCTCTCTCTTTCTTCCTCTCTCCTTTGCTCTCGACATGCGATATTTTCGTCGATATTTCCACACCGAAATTCGTACCATCTCCGTATTGACTATCCGGCCGTATCGATTCGTTATATTACCTGTTTTCGACATGCCAGTTTTTCATCTGTTGCACTTGATATTCGTAAATTTATGGAAACCACGAACGCACGCGAATAATCCATGTCGTCGGAATGCTCGCGAGGTGAAAATAATTTCAACTGCGGATATACGTATGTATAACGTACGAGCAGTAATTTTAGCGCTCTCGAAAACATACCCCGTTGTAAACCACCGCCGTCTTAATAATGGGATTATCGGTTTTCGAGCGTATCGGATTATTTAAGAGTCGGATTGCGCATATTGTTGTACGATATCGGCGCGGTATCCAGTTTAAAAGCTGTTATCGATTCGGACGTTTCTCGGCGTTTACCAGTTTTCTATTCTCACTCCCCTTTCTACGTCCTGTAATGCATCGCATGTTTGTAGCCCGATGATTGCTCGATCAGCGACAATGTGTAACATAGCCCAAGTGTTACAATACGTGATATTTTAGCGTGTCGATAATACGCGATTGTAGCCATTGAATCTCTCATTCTCACGATAAAATGCTAATAAATAATAGGCTAGGATTAATTCTGATGAAAAAATACCAGATTCCTTCCTTTAGCAGAACGCGTAAATTAATTATCCAATTTGGCGTAGCTCCGTCGTTTGATTAGCTCTGTCGTTTGCGTTAAAAATTTCATCAATCTTCACTCTTTGCGGATAAAAAAAAAAAAGAAATACAGTTATAAGAATATTTCACAATTTAATTACAATGTTGCTGCGCATATAGTTGTAAAAACTGCGAAGTTCTTAAAATTCGATTATCGATTTTCCTTTTCTCTTTGATATTCTCTCAGACATCGACGAGTGTGCAGAAGGCATAGCAAAATGTACCGATATTTGTCGCAACGAACCCGGTTCGTACTCTTGTGAGTGTCATGGTGGTTTTCAGCTGGGGACCGATGGTCGTTCTTGCCAAGGTTAGTCATACAGAAAGAAAGAAATCTCTGACAAATATTTACTAATACTCGTCGGTTCCTCTTTGTGTCGGTGTATTTATATTTACACGTTTGTGTGTCATCTACACAAACTAAATTTCTTGCAGTGAAATCTCTCACTCCAAGATAGTGAAAACACAACCCAATTCTTGAAAATATTTCACTTCTTGAATCGTCACTCTTTTTCAAAGAGGTAAAATATTTTCACTTTTCTTTCTAAGGGTGGTTGTATTTTCACTCTCTTGAAGTGAGATTTTTCACTGCAAAAAATTTAGAGTGTATTTATGTACTAGCTTCAAAAAGCAATTTATTTTAGCGTTCTTTGATTCAATTTTGTTATTTAATAAATGAACTTGTGTCGAGAGAAAAACTCTCTGTAAGATACGTAACTATTACACAGACATCAATGAATGCCTCTCGAACAATGGGCACGGACCTTGCCAAGGTACTTGTCGCAATCTCCAGGGAAGCTACGAGTGCAGTTGCACGGATATTCCCGGGTACAAATTAGCTGCCGACAATCACACTTGCGAAGACATCGACGAGTGCGCGCTGAACAACGCGAATTGTTCTCATCTGTGTTTAAACACGCCCGGGAGCGTCTTCTGCCTCTGCCCGGATGGTTTTTATCTGACGAATGATTGGAAAACCTGTCAGGGTAAATATATTTCATGTTCGCTTTCGATCGACTGTAACCCCTATTTTCAATCTTGTAAATAAATTATTAAAATGTTTATCTGGTGATTTCACTGTTTATTGTATTAATTGCGTCGTCAAGATTTAATTGTGTCGATCATCTTTTACAAATTGTAATTTTCCTTCTCATGATGATTTAGACCGATCGATTTTCCAATATTTACATTATTTATGATATTTACTTACGATTATCCAGCTTCTTTCATTCTATTGGAATTTTACATTGCAAAAATAACATTACGAAGTCTGACGCAAAAAGAAAAAAGAAAGAAAATAGACATTATAAAATCTGAGTTATATCTTTTATCTTTAGATATTAATGAATGCGAGGTAACTCCAAAGATATGTGCGGAGAACACTGAATGCGAGAATACAGTGGGATCATACAAGTGTACAAGTACAATACATCCTCACGTGGTAACGAAGATCCTTCGAGAAGAGGACTACGACGATGACAATGAAGACAACGATGATGAAGACGAGAACAATGACGATGATTACGGGGAAGAGATTACCGAAATTCCGCAGAGCTCGAGGTGCGAAAATGGTTTTAAGAAAAATGAAAATTTAGAGTGCGTTGGTAAGTGTACTTCACAGAAGATAAAGTTATTAATAATAATTATCATTTTATATAAAATCCGATTGTCAATTGAAATATTCAAATATAGATAGATTTTTAAATGAAAAATATTGATATACTTCTTTGCAGTAACTTTCTACTTTTTTATGTCTCTATTTTCGAAACTTGGATATTTTCAAGTGAAAAGTTGGATTCTTCACTTTTGGATTCAACTTTCGACATTTATTTATTTATTTCGAAGATTTTTCTTTAAAAGGCACTTTTCCAGCAAAAAAGTAACACTCAAATGAAATCTGCGTTGCTCAAACGAAATCTGGCTGACGTTATAATTGGGAGAGGGAATTCTATCGTATTCGGAAAGAAGAGAGATTGCCTTGAGACGAGATCACTGACATTCTCTTCCAGATGTGAACGAGTGCGCCGAGATCGAATCGCACCGCTGCCAGCACGAGTGCGTCAACGAGCCGGGTGGTTATCATTGTGCCTGTCGACCTGGTTACGAGCTCGCGGAAGACGGTGCGACGTGTGAGGACGTGGACGAGTGCGATGTACCATCCCGACCGTGTTCGCACATCTGCCGCAACACCGATGGCGCGTACGTGTGCCAGTGTTTTTCAGGGTTCACGCTGACGGACGACAACGCGACTTGCGTCGAGGAGAGCGCGCAGTTCAAGAACTGCTTCAGCCTGGCGAAACCGTGTTCCCACATCTGCGAGGACACCACGGAGGGACCGCGATGCGTTTGCCCGACTGGATACGAGCTGTCGGACGACCGTGCGACCTGCGCGGATGTCGACGAGTGCGCCCGGGACGCTCCGTGTTCGCATTCGTGCGTTAATCTCGAAGGCGGTTTTACTTGCACGTGCCCGAACGGTCTGGAGATCCTCGAGCACGCGAGTAAATATAACTGTACCGACGTGGACGAGTGCGGCGGGGATGATCACGGTTGCCAGCACCGATGCGTGAATCTGCACGGCGGACACGAATGCGCCTGTCATTCGGGATTCGTCCTGGATACCGATGGCAGATCCTGCATCGACGTGGACGAGTGCGCGGAAGGATCGCACGGGTGCTCGCATGAATGCGAGAACGAGGAGGGCGCTTACAAGTGCGGGTGTCCTGGCGATATGTCCTTGGATGAAACCGGCAGGAGCTGCGTTTTGTTCGACGCGTGCGAAATCGCGAATTGCAGTCACGCCTGCGAGAAGGATCGGGGCACCTACAGGTGCGTCTGCCAAGAGGGATATATCTTGCAGAAGGACGAGAAAACCTGCCTGGATATGGACGAGTGTTTCGAGAATGAGCACGATTGTTCGCATGAATGCATCAACGTTCTCGGAAGTTACAGATGCGCCTGTCCGCAGGATATGAAACTTCTCGAGGATGGTCTCACCTGCGGGGATCCGGCATGCCCTCAGGGGCTTCGACAGGACGAGCATGGCGAGTGCCGGGATATCGACGAGTGTCTCGAAGGTGAATACGAGTGTTCGCATTTCTGTTACAACGTGTATGGGTCTTATCGATGCTCGTGTCCTTCCGGCTGGGTCCTGGAGGACGACAGTCTCACTTGCGCGAGGAGTGATCCTTGCTCCAATTCCTCGTGCTCGCACTCGTGCGTTCCATCGGACTCGGGCTATAAATGTGAGTGTCCTTCGGGTTATCTTCTCGACGGGGACGCGTGCAAGGATAAGAACGAATGCGAGGACGAGGTGACGAACGGCTGCAGTCACGATTGCAGAAATCAAGAGGGTTCCTATTCATGCTCTTGTCCGGCGGGAATGGAGCTTCGAGAGGATAATCGTACGTGCGCAGTCATCCCGGACGAATGCGCGAAATCTCGAGGAAATAATAACTGTACTTGTCCCGCGGGATATACTTACTCGCGAAGAGAGCGTATCTGCGAGGACGTTGACGAGTGCCAGGACAAACAGGGACACGATTGTTCCCACGACTGTATTAATACCGACGGCTCTTATTACTGCGAGTGTCCTCTCGGTTGGCGGCTGCGGGAGGATTCTAGGACCTGCCAGGAGCCGCCAGATGATCCTTGCTCCAAGGATCACGCGGGTTGCTCACACACGTGCGAACGGGATGACGACCGCGTTCGTTGCGGTTGTCCGGAAGGATACGAGCTACAGGATGACGGGAAGACTTGTCGGGACGTGGACGAATGCTCCGAAGGTTCCCATGCGTGCAGTGACATTTGCTTAAACGTCGAAGGCGCTTATCATTGTCAGTGTCCTTCGGGATTTCGGTTGGGAGACGATCACAGAACCTGTCAGGACATCGACGAATGTTCGTCCGAAGAGGCCGATTGCTCTCATGGCTGCTTGAACGTAAACGGTACTTATAACTGCACCTGTCCTGAAGGATACGAGCTACAGGATGATGATAGAACGTGCGAGGTTGCGAATAAATGCGTCGCCTTGAACAATTCTTGTTCGCACAGCTGTATAACCCATAACGGCACTCACGAATGCTCGTGCCCTGCGGGATACCACATTGGCGAGGATGGCAGGACCTGCGAGGACATCAACGAGTGCGTCCAGGACAACGGAGGATGTTCCCATCTTTGTGCGAACACGGAGGGTGGCGTCGAGTGCGCGTGTCCCGAAAATTATGAGCTGTTAGAGGACGATGGCAAGACGTGCGTAGAGATAAACGCGTGTTCCATCGATAACGGGGGATGCTCGCATTTCTGTCGCCACGAGGACAACCGGTTATTCTGCTCCTGCCCGCCTGGAATGGTCCTGTCCGAGGAAACGGTGTGTACGTACGAAAACGATTGTCTGCAGGACAACGGTGGCTGTTCCCATTTGTGTTACCACGAAGCCGGAAACGTCACCTGCGCCTGTCCATCCGGTATGATTCTAGCGGAGGATCAACGGCTCTGCGTGCAGGAAGACGGGTGCGCGATCGAGAATGGCGGCTGTTCCCATTTCTGCCACGATCACGATGGTAACGTGACGTGTTCGTGTCCCGTAGGGATGTCCCTGTCTCAGGACGACGGCACTCTTTGCATTCACGAGAACGGGTGCGTTCTTAACAACGGCAAATGCTCGGATACCTGTACTTTCGTTAACGGTTCGGCCGTCTGCGAATGTCCCGAAGGCTACCGTCTGTCATCGCGAGACAACGCTACCTGCGTGGACGTCGACGAGTGCTTGGAGCTGCTAGACAACTGCACTCATCAATGTTTCAACATTCCAGGCGGTTTCAACTGCAGCTGCAACGCTGGCTTCTCGCAGAATTCTCAAGATCCGACCCTATGCGACGACGTCGACGAGTGCGAAATCGAGAACGCAGGATGCTCGCATTCCTGCGTAAACCTGGTGGGCACCTTCAGATGTCAGTGTCCAATCGGACACGTCTTGGAGCGAAACAACAAGACTTGCGTTTTGGTGGATGGCTGCAAGAACGACAACGGCAACTGCTCCCATCACTGTCATCGAGTGGATGCTGCCGATGGAATTCCGGTCACTCGTTGCTCCTGTCCGCCCGGCTTCCGCCTGAAGCGCGATCTTAAGACCTGCGAGGACGTTAACGAGTGCGAGGAATTTGAGAACGACGTGGAATCGGGCTGCTCTCACACCTGCGTGAACACCGAAGGCGGTTACGACTGCGAGTGTCCAGTCGGTTACATTCTGATGCCGGACGATCGGAAGAACTGCGTGGATGTGGACGAATGTCTGACCAATCGTCACAATTGCACACACGACTGTGTGAACTTGCTAGGCGGTTACACGTGCACTTGCTACAAAGGACATTATTTGCACGCTGACAATTTAACCTGCCTGGATATCGACGAGTGTTCCAAGCTGAATGGCGGGTGCTCGCATAATTGTACCAACACCATCGGTGGCCACTTGTGCTTCTGTCCGACGGGCTACGAGCTGTCACAGGACGACGAGAAGACTTGCATCGATATCGACGAGTGCTTGAGTGACAACGGCGGATGTGATCACAAGTGCGTTAACACCGTGGGCTCCTTCAGCTGTGAATGTCCACCGAATCATGAATCGTGGAATGGATCCTGCCGACCGTTCAATCCTTGCCGAGACCATAATGGTGGCTGCGAGCACATTTGCGCAGCAGTGAACGGTACCGTAATATGTTCGTGCGAGAAAGGCTTCCAAAGGGACGAGATCGACGGTTTCAAATGTCGTGATATTGACGAGTGCGAGGAACAGCACGGCTGCGATCATATTTGCGTCAACAATCCCGGCTCGTACGAGTGCAGATGTAAGGAAGGATTCCAAATGGTGAATTCTACTTGTGAAGGTAAGTGAATAATAATAAATTTCGATTTTATTCTCATGATATAAATCTTGACATCTTTAAGTATAAGTCATTGATGATTTATTCATAGACTAATATTGTAAAAGGGAATTCTAAAGCATCCCAAGTTGAAGGCGACGGGGCTTCTGGAAAATTATTGAAAAGGAAGTAAAACATTTTAGCTATTATATTTAAAAAAACGTGAAATTAAAAAATTTTTTAAAAAATTGTGATTTTACAAAATAAAGTTTAATGGGATTTTTAGTTTTTATTATAAAAATATAAAATATGTATTGTATATAATATAATGAGAAAATATTTTTTGCATCTTAATGCTTTTCTCATTATCTATCGTCATAATAATCTTATAGCTTTTTTACAAGAGAGAATAAATCTTTTAACATTTTTATTAATATATATATGTATACAAATATGCGTAATTTTTTAAACAAAAATTTATTGAAAAAAATGTGAAAAACTAAATGTGATTATTTACAAAAAAAAAGCTTCTAACAGCATGGCATATGTCGGCAGCTCACAACTTTGCTTCTTCACTGCTTGAAACTTAAATTTTACGTTGCCATTCCTCACTTATATTCTCATTATCTTAAAGTTTCTTTTAAAAAAGAAAGCCACTCGCATCACTAAAAGAACCTTTTAGAGATGCGAAAGGTTTGAAATAATGGTATGTACAGAAATGAATCATGTATGTCATTTAAGGATTAATCGTCGTTACTGAATATTAAAGTAAGTTACAAAGGAATCTCTCTATTTCACGTTGTGTGTGTGTGTATGTGTGTGCGCGATGAGGTATTCTTAAAAAAAGAAAATTATATTCACGAAGCGGATTGCGCATAAAAGCAGTAATAAATGCAATGAAGAAAGAAACTATCACGATCCACTTTTATAAATTCGCGTTTTACAAATCGTTGTTTCAATTTATTTTGCTATCACGGTTAATTTTCTGAAAATAGTATCGTCATCTCTCTGGAAAATCCGAGAGATAACGCGCGGTTCCTAGTTACACAGTTTCGCCCTTTTCTCCCTCTCCCTTACTTGTGTTCCAGTTTCGAAGCTTGCTGTAAAGTTAGACTCGCTTAGCTCGGGCGGAAGTTTCTCGAGTAACCACCGTTGTGTTTGTGCGTATGCGATTTCTTTTTTTCTTTCCTTCTCTATTTTTTTTTTAGACGTCAACGAATGCGCAGCCGGTATTTGCAAGGGCAACAAATGCACCAACATGCCGGGCAGTTATCGTTGCGAGTGTGAGGCAGGATATCGATTCCACGGTGATACCTGTGTAGGTTCGTGTGTAGGCGGAAAGCGTGTGCTTACTTAAGAAAAAAACCGATGTCGCTTAATCGTAACTAAACTGAGTTTGCTTTTTCCTAGACGTCGACGAATGCCTGGAAGAGACACCCTGCAGCGATAGATGTGTCAATACACCTGGATCGTACTACTGTACGTGCTCCGTCGGATTTCAACTGGAAGGGAACAAATGTGTAGGCAAGTTAAAGCACACTGTAAAAAATAAAAAAAAATAAAAGGTTAATTTTAACTTGAAGATGTATAGTGGACTTTCTAAGCGTGCAAAAAAATGGCAAAATTAACATTTTTGTGTTAATTTTAACATTTTTTGTATACTTAGAAAATCCACTGTAAGTTCAAATTAACATTCTATTTTTTACAATCCATCCAATCGTACGCACTGCATTGTAAAATACAACGTGTTGTGCAATACATATATATATTTTATATAGGATAGGGCGAAGATATTCCGTCAATTTCAACTCAGCAAATACTGAATATTGAATTGCAATAATGCAGCAACATTGTAACATTCCTGCTATATTGCAGAAATGTTACAATGCTGCTGCAATATTGCAGTTATAGTCTGTGTTTGCTGGGAACGAAAGTTCCAAATAGCAAACAATATCGCTTTGCAGTGACATGTTCATAATTACATCGTACAATCACGATTGCTTTTGAAGGCACAAGCACAACCCTTAAATAATCAACATATATGTTTTGTACAGAAACAAACATTATCGATGAAAAAGGGACGAAAAGCCCTTCTCTACTCTCTATATTCTTTTAAAAACAAAAAAAGTTACGCACAAATCTAGACGTCGTTTACTCGATAATGGTGATGGATATGACTTTGACGGGTAAAAGTCTTTCTTATAGATTTTGTTGAAAGAAACCGAAATAGTTTTATGACATTTTACCGTATCTGTCATCGTTTCTGAGATAATGGTCTTTCTATCTAGACTTGTGCGTAACTTTTTGTCAAAGAATGTGTTTTATATATACTTTTATTGTTATATACATGTATACTTTCTAACAAAAAGCTGCGCACAAGTCTAGACAGAAACACCATTATCTCAGAAACAGTTACAGTAAAATAACACAGAACTATTTCAATTTTTTTCTCACTAACACATGCTGCACGTGACTCATGGACAGGTCTAAACATAATCTATAATTGAACTACATTTAAACCCTCATATCTAAAAAATTACTTTCTAAAATACAAATTAACATATAACTTTTTTAAAAAAAATTTCGTGCCATACATTTTAATTCGCCAATTTCGAGACACTACATATACATATTGATAAAAATCAAATTAAAGCGCTATATGTGCTTTCATATATTTTATCATGCAAATTTATTATTATTGCGCATTAATCATGTCATATTATATATTTACTTGATTACGTGAATATATTTGTACACGCTTTTGTAATATTAATCTGAAAAATTCATTCCACGGCCGCAGATATTGATGAATGCGAATGGCGTCGCGACAGATGCGATCAAGAATGCGTCAATACCGTAGGATCATTTGTTTGCGCCTGTCGCGCCGGATATACGTTAATTTTGAGGTAAGATCTAAGGGATATATACAGCAGCTGGTAGAGTAAAAAAAAAATCAGATATCACACGATTCCCACTCTTTATGCATGGGATTGCACGAGCAGGAGTCAATGTCAAGACGTGAACGAATGTCTAAACCGGAACGGCGGTTGCACTGGCGAGTGCATCAACACCGCCGGAAGTTACTATTGCGTCTGCAGTGAGGATTTGGTGTTGGCGCCCGACGAGAGAACTTGTGTCTCGCCAACGTCGGAATGCCGTGCCATGGAGCCACCTATACACGGAGAGGTAACTGTCGCACGGATATCGCAAGTCATATTAGATAGATCGAGTCAATATATACTACCGAAATATATATTCTAAAGTATCTTTCAAAGAGATGATGTACTACACACACACACACACACACACACACACACACACACACCACCGACATTTCCAACATATACCACTTTGCATTTTATATGCCGTGTTAAAATGTTAAAAAAAAATTCGGGAAAATCCGGAGCTGCAAGAATAGCTGGGAAAAATGGAGAATTTAAACATGTTTGAAACAACCGGCAGAAATTAAAAATGGCAAATTAATAAAATTACTGAGTTTTTTTACATGAGATCAAGATGAGAACGAAAACGAGATAGCCGAAAGTTGAAAAATAATGTGTTTATAATAATGTAATTATAATTAGCGACACACACACACACACACACACACACACAAATTGAAGTACACGAATTATTCGAGAGTCTGCCAATTGTCATTTGTAATACAATAAATTTTTATAAGTAAAATCAATAAATAAATTCAACACATTTCTTCATTGAATATAAATGATACGTACAATTAATTTGTACTCACGAGGAAGACTGTATTAAAAGTCGGAACGTTTGAATTTATTTATAAAGATTTATTATATCAAAAATCACAACTGGCGGAGCTAAATGTGCTTAAATTTTTAATTTAATTTCGTTAGGGCCTTAAATTTATATATGCATTTTTAATCATTATACACACAAATATGACAGGAACACGTAAACTTTATTCTCCCGACTATGTCATTTATTCTGTTTTCCTGGGTTGAATCGAGCAGATCAGATGTCCAGGACATTCTTCCGGCGCGTCCGCCTATCCTCAGGGCGCCAAGTGTCACGTCCGATGTCGCAGAGGCTTCCGGCTAGAAGGGGCGCATACGAGACACTGCGTCAGCGACGGCCACTGGAACGGGAGAGAACCTATGTGTCTGCCCGAAGTCGCAACAGACCTTTTTCACAATCCAAGTATAACTTGATTCCACAGTCCCACGGTTGCCAAGAAAAACGCTGCAGGCATCATGTCCTCCACGTACCGTAACTTCACCGGGAAATTAATCAAGATGTTTATCCGATAAAATTTTTAACGAGTTGACTGTTGCATCGAGCGTCGCTTTACGCGTAGTACGAGCCGCTGTACGCTTACATGGCCGTGTAATTATTTTCGACGGAACATTTTTTTCAACATCGTTACTTTCATTAAAAATTTATTCTTGCCGTTTCACGGTTTTTCAGACACGCCCGCAGCATTTTTTTTCCCGAAGACCCGCGTATCTCTTTTAAAGGGAGTACGTTTAAGCGAGTACCTCCATAGACGTGATAGGTCAGTGAGCTCTGTAATACACTGGAACGAGCCGTTGAGGAGTGGGGGTGTTCCAATTTCGGGATAATGACATGCTAATGCAAAAAAGTTGTACTGTTTTCTTTGTCAGCGATTCGCTGATTGGCTAATGTGGTTTTACCATCACAAGTAGGAAGCAGTCAGAAAGATAAGTTTTTGTCTGCCGTCCTTTTTCCCGTTCGAGTCGCAGTTTTCTATAGTTTACTCCTCAATTTCTAAATAATGACACTCTAATATAAAAATTGTACTGCTTTTCTTTGTCAGCGATTCGTTGATTGGCTAACGTAGTTTTACTCTACCATAAGCGGAAAAGAATCAGATGAATCTTCGTTTGCCTTCTTTTTCTCCGTCGGGCCGCAGTTTTCTACAGTTTAATTCCCAATGTTTAAATAATGATACTCTGATGCAAAAATTGTACTGTTTTCTTCGTCAGCGATTCGCTGATTGGCTAATGTGGTTTTACTACTGTAAGTAGGAAAGGATTAGAAAAGTATTTCCTTGTTTTCCTTTCCTCGGTCTGCAGTTTTCTGCAGTAGCTTAATACAGGAAAGGCGTGTTT